TTTCTGCAGGGAGAGAAAGAAATTACGCTTCTGAAAAGTTACTTTGTATCCATCTCCCACTAACACAACCTGCTGAGATAACAGCAAATATAAATACCAGGCTTTCATTCGGTGATATTGCTTTATTATTTCCTCACGCACAATTTAAGCAAAATGGTTAAGGAAGAACAGTGATACAGATTTGATGGTGCACTTCATTCCATATACCTCATAACAGAAATGCTCCCAAAGAATAAAACTTACATTTTTTTAAAGGGGAAAGAATTTTTTCAGTATTTTTAGAATCAGCATTTTTTCTAACCTGAAATAGTTATTTTCTACTTTGGTTAATCTGAATTTTCAAAGCTTCTAATTGAAACTCTCAATTACATACAACATATTCTATTTGCTGTCCTGTCTGCACTCATTTTGCTGCTAAAAAAAAAAAAAAATTTTAAGTTTCCAGACCACAGATTCTCAGCACACCAAGGAAAAACTCAACATCATCCTTATCATCCTTGAAGTTAAATAACTCAGATGTGACAGAAGGGTCCTCCTGTTCACATGCATATTATAAATCCACTGAAATGTAGTGCAATACATCATTGAGGTATGTTCAGTTTTGCTTTTGTCAGCTTGCTGCCATATTTTATTTTTTTTTTTACACCCTATAAGTTTGGGTTTATCATCCCCATTCCTTGGCACTCAATGATGTAGGTATCTTTACTGGGATCTTCCTCTTCTGATTTTGTCACAGTAAATTTGGCCTAAAACAGGATTAGAAATATATCACTAATTAAGTTATAACATACATAAGTTTAAATATTCAATATCTGATGCCTACTAAATCATATTGTCCTGTGTTTATGTATATTACAGCGTTGACCGATTTCATTAAAAAGCATTTAAATAGACATGGTAAAAGAATCAAACCATTCTAAAAGCATTTAACTCTAAAGTACGTTCACTTTTTACAGGTAAACTCCCATATAAATATTGTAGCAATTATTTTATCAATGCTTGTCCTCCATGATCAAGTTCAGTTCACAACGCCTGCTAAACTGTACATTTCCTAGTTACCGATAGGTAAAACTTCCTGAACTTTTGGACTCACCTTTGTTAGCTGCTCCGCAAAGTGTATAGCCGTTTGAGTATGAAGTGTAATTGGTCCACTTTTCACTCTAGACACCCCCTTTGCTAGTGCCATAAAAACGATCAGCTGAAAGGGAGGTAAAGGTAATTATTAAGTAACTCTTCAGATCCTAGGAACTTATTGATTTTTTTTTTTTAAAAAAGGAAAACCATGCAAAATGTCTATAAATGTAAAAATGTGGTCTGCCAAGTTTCCTAGAAGTTGATGATGCTGAGTGTTAAGGGTGATCCAAGGTTCAAGAAACTTGGAAATGACTACTGTAATGCCTGTTACAGAAGGGCTCCTATTTGTCCACAGTGGAGTTTGCCACTGAATTCCTGTCACTACATTTAACTTTGCCCTCCCTGACCCTCCCGCCCTGAAATTCCCCAGAGTCATGTCAGACTCCAGATTGGTAGATCACCTTTACAGAGAGAAAAATTCAGGAAGAGGATTTTTTACAGATATTTAAAAAGATCTGATTTGATTTACAAACATCACCATGACAAGTACTCTGTAAAGCCTGATATAACTCTGAGCAGTTCCCATACCCACTGAGCTAGCTGTGGCATGTTTCCACCAATTGTACTCTGCATGCTTTGAAAAAAGTAGGAGGAGTCCAAGACCTAAATACTTCCTAATATACTACATAATAGTAATGTGTGGCCAGGCGTTTACAGCTAAGAGGTAACATCATCCTATCTAGAACAGCCCAAGACTCTTATCAGGCTGCATTATTGAAAATAAGATAGTGGAGGGTCTTCATTCTTAATGAAATTAGGTGAGCAAGACAAACAGGAGCACCTCCTCGATATTCTGTTCTCTCATAGCTTCACTTGGTATCATTCTTAATATGTAACCAGGGAGCTATTTTTACTCCACTACACGGAGTGCCAAATAGAAGCAAATTCCTACCTCTTTCTTCCATACCTACTAAGATTTACAGGAAGGGAAAATTTAAGGGTATTGGTGCAAAGCCAGGAGCATCTGTGGTTCCTGAGAACTGTATGTAATTTGCTAGTCCCAGTGATGTTGTGACCACACCTGGAAACCTCCTAAGACTTCCAATTATCAAATAATTATGTAAAGCTACACCTACCTGTGGAGATACAGTCTAACTTTGAAATCTACATCTCATTCTTTCCCTGTTCAGATTTATATACTTTACAAGTAATACATACATGTACGTTCTTGCTACTTCAACTTCATGTAAACATATAGAGGAGTCTTACTTGGTCTTGCAGAGAATCATCCACAGTTCCGCCATGTTTAAGATTCCTAAGCAGTATCTCAGCTGCTTCAATGCCAACCTTGTCAGAATTCTTTCCTACCAGAGAAATCCAGGAGATTAGGATGTTGCCAATTATTATTTAACATTTTAAAAATACACAATGGAAAAAAATAAAGAAATTATCAACTTTTTAAACCTTATTTCCATGTTCTTGCCTCAAATGTCTGCTTAAAAAAACCCTCCCATCTTTTGATGACACACAGTTCATACTTCTTAAGCAGTGGAAAGAAAGTAGCCCCACTTAGTAGGAGAAACATTTTATTCAAACCATTTAAAACCAAAATAACTTCTAGTCCTTTTACTCTAGATACACATCTAAATTCACCACTGAACAAAAACTTCACAGGTAAATCACAAAGACTGTATGTTCTTAAAGTCCAGAAGCATTTTCAACTCTGTGATCCTTAACAATCCATTCTGATAAAAGGTGAGTTTAATGATTTTGTAATTTTTGTCACTATGCAGAAGCAGCTTAGTACAAAGTGTAAGATTCCATTTACTACATTTAAAATCTGCTCATTTGCACTGCCCTTTATTACTAAACAACATTCATTTAAAATGCAACAATCAAAGCATCAGATCTTTGAACAGATTATACTTTAGACTCCTATTTATTGATAGCACATTAAGTTAAACCTGAAAGAGGTATACTTCATGGAGCTCTTACCTCTCTTCCCAAGTGATGACCCAGCTAACAAACAACCTGTTGAAGTCTCTGCAACAATGCTAAGTAGAAAAAACAGAATCAATATTAAGAACAAAATTACTCACATTACACTTTATTTATCAGATATGTAATCAAGATCTAGCTAATCAACCAGCAAGGTTGCAGGTATCAATAGGAAGTTTGGGCTCATCTTACATTATTCCACTTCCAGTCCCAAAGGCTTGATCGTCAGGTTCTCGAACAGGCTGAATGTTAATGTAAAGATCTCTGATTTCTTTTCTGATGCATCGCACTGCTGCTGCCGACATGTCTTTTGCCAGCTAACAAGATAAGAGGTAAAAACTTTAAGTATGTAACTACAGTAATAATTTTCCTCATAAGTCTAATTATTACAGTGAGTCCCTGAATAAAGGGGCTACTTTAATAAACAGAAAAACAAAGGATTGTTATAAAATCCCTACAAGCAAGCACTGAACATCATCTCTTCCGAGAATTTTCCCACAAAATTAAGGTAACATTAAATGCTGAACAAATGACAACTATAGCTGTATATGTAGAAGCTTCAATATAAATAGAAATTCAAGAACTTTTCTCCATTCATAGGGAGAAAGATTTGATTTTAGTCTTGATTTTCTCAAGACACCAGATTGTATTAAAAAAAACCAACAACAAAACCACAGAAACAAAACCAAACAAACAAAAAACCCCAAACCCCACCCTACAATTATTATGTACAGGATATACTCTTTAAGATATAATATATAAAACAACAATTTCAAATCACAGGCAGGTGGGGGCAGATGAAGCTTATCCCATCCTTGTGATCCAATCATAGCCAATATTCAAAGGTTTGGACATTTTAAGACCAAAACCAGCAGTTCGCAGCTCTTCAAAAAGTAACTCAGTTTCTCCTCTTCCTTCCTCTGCTAATTCCTAGCCTGTGTGTGAGAAGGAGCCTTAAGGAGATCTCAGCACTCATTCTCTGTAAACACAGACAGGATAGGAATAATAGAAAGAAGGGAGTACAAAGGAACAAATTTCTCTCTGTTTTATCCTTGGCTAAACCCACCCTTAACTTGTTCTGTCTAATACCCTTAGCAATGGTTGAAACATTTTATGTAGTCTGACCTCTGCCTATTACAGAGCACCATAGTTTACTCATAAATCTATGAACAAGGGCCATGATTTTGGATTTAAAATAATCCACGTAAATATGAACAATACGTAAATCAGATATAAGATATCCGTCAATACATGCTAAAGACTTCTGAACAGTGATTTGAAAGGTATCAAGGATACTGTTCTCATTTCCTGTTTCAGCTGCTACCATACTGCTATGCACTAAATGCATTTGAGAAATGTCAAAAATTCTATTCTAGAGCCTGAATAATTGAAACCCTTTAATAAGGCTACTTAGTTTGTATGTGAAAGACTGCAGAATACAGGAAGAGTAGAGGTATGTTAAGCAGACTACAAGCAATTTTATATCAATATATGAGGTTGGATACTACCAGAGCTATCATCAGCACTTACTTTTATAGGTAGCGCTCCAGCAACAAATGCTCTTCCATATATCTTTGTCACTGTGCCACGTTCTGTTAAGTTTATTGGGCTCAACTCTTTGACTGGTGATATCTGGATTACAACTTCACCACCTCCCTGAGGATAGTAGCCCCTATTTAGAAACAGTAATCACGTAATAGTTAAAGGCAAAAATCACAAGGAAACCAAGAAAAGAGCCAGAAGGCTCTTCATCTATTTCATTATACATTTTTATTTCCTCTGTTACTGTACATATGAATTTTTTTGATGTGTGCCTTAGAAATCTTTATAATAGAATTAGGTTCTCTAACAGTATTACCTCATAACACACATCTTCTTAACTACCTAACAACAACATAACTGGCACCTCAGAAAAAGCTCAGTAACATATGCTTCCCTCAGGGGTAGCCCACAGGAAACATTAAACAGCAGCTGAAGACTCAGTAATGAAAAAAAAGACAGGAAAGAACCATACCACATTCCTCATATGGTGACAGCACACACAGGGGCAACTAATGCAGATTAGTTCATGTATTATAAATTCATCCCTCAGCTTGACTGAGAGCACCTTGTGTGTGTGCCTCTGTGATTGCACACTGGTTCAGTTAGGCCTGCCCCTGCCACACAGCTCCATGACTCACCTCTTTTTTATGTCACAATTAAATGTGAAATTGAACTTTTCAACTATTGGCTTGAAAACCTGAAAAACAAGCATATATAAAAACACAGAGTGAATCTATTTTGTATTTATAATTTCCTGCTATTTTATGCAGTCTTCAAAAAAAAAAAATTCAACACAAAAAATTCAGTTACATCGTTAAAAAAAAAAAAAAAAAAAGATAGCCAGTCTTATCTTATCCATACAGTTTATTTGACATTCCTCATACTAAATTCTGAATGACACTTTCTGTAAAAGGATTTTCTTACGGAAAGAGAAATTCTTAACAATTCACAGCACTTCTAAAATAAAGAATATATTTTAAGTGAAATTTTCTTTAGTAATTAAAAGCAAAACACACTGCTTGCTGTTTCAGGGAATTCCATGAAACACTGGTTGCTCTCTACATGCAGTACACTAATAGCGTTACATTCCCATGCCTAATTCCATAGTTACAAATAAACTTGCAGTAAGAGCAACAGAAGTACAGTAGTTACATTGCATATATATGCATGAAAGATGCATCAAGCCAAAGAAACTTTTCCCTACCATGACTGTGTAGTCTATCTGAGGAGCCATCTCAGCATTAGTCCCACCTTTTAAATGAAGTTCTGATGGGGAAGCAGCAAACAGCACACAGGGCATTGCTACCTGCATCAGTAGACACACACTCCTAAAAGCAATTGTAAGATACTTAAATGTCATGCAGTCATAATCCATAAAATTCCATAGAATCATTACATATCGAAGGCAAATGACTTTCCAGAGCATTTACATAAGTATTTGATTTTGAACATTATTTATAAAGTAAACTTACTAGTCTTAAAAAATACTAATTTAAAACTTCATGTCCTTAGCAAGCCTAAATATAAAGGTTTTTGTTTCACAATAATTGCGTCTTTAATATTTCTGTTTGAAATAAAAGTAATGTAGCTTACTTAGTATAGTGATGGGATTGTGTAAACTGTAGGTTTAGCTAGCAGATGATAAAAGCAGAAAAGGCTTAGGCAGCAATTTAAACATTTCAATACTTATTTAACAACAAAATATTTAGAAAACTACAAAATTGCTTAGAAGATGGTCAGCATCCTGCACAAGAAAATTCAGGGGCATAGAAAATACGCTTTTACATACAAAATGCCCCTGTCATTTAATCTCTCCATGTTTCATAGATAATGAAAAATTTCCAAAATAAATTTTCCAAAAGCAAGTTTGTTCAGCAAAACAAAACCGTTATCTCACAGGGGTTTAAAACATCATTTTGAATTGCGAAAACAGTAATCATCACTGAACTGAAGAAAACACGGGTTTGTTTTCTTAAATAACTTCCAAATGTTTGCAAACCACACTGTTTGTCTTTTTCTTTTTTTTCCCTTGTGCTTAATTACTAATTCTGCTTCATTGTTGCGTACTCAAACTTTTCTGTGTTAAGTAAAAGGCATCAGCTTGGTTGTTTACACTATTGCAGCTCAGAAAAATATTTATCTTAACTTAAAGGAAACTTTAACTTATGCCTAACCTTGCTGATGCTTCCAAACAACTGTTCACACCAGCCTTCCACAGATAAACCACAGATAATAAAAAAAAATTTACTTGGTTTTGCAACAGAATCCAAGAACAAAAGACTCAACACAGAAATAGAGGATAAAAGAAACACAGGCACAAAGAACCATGGATAGAATGTTCTCAGTTCCAAAAGACTAATATCCCATATTGTACCATTACATGCACAAGTAAAATCTCAAAATTTACTTTATTCTATCATCAAGATTATTTCAGATCTCACGGATTTGAGATACTTATCTAATTTGATGCATTTGACCTGATATGTAATGTACTGATGTGAGAAAATAACAGATAAAGTTTTAAATACATGGGCAGCTCTTTTTTGCTTAACATTAATCAAGTGTTCAACTTATACATCAATTATAATTTTAAAACTATTACACTTGCATGTACTTCATTCATACATGTCCTGACTATGCTAAATGTTCTTTGGTCACATATATCTGGCTCAGGCAGCTCAGATTTTGGCTCACTACCCATGTGTTAATGTTCTTTTTTTCCCCCCGTTCTTTTGTGGTAAGTTTAAAGTTACAAAAATGCCTTCTCTCACAATTTTAAAGTTACCAATAGCAGTTAAGAGCAGTTACTGGTCAGTCATTATCTGCGTACAAAGACATACCCTGCTGTTTTTGTATCTGCTATGTGGGTTCCACCTTTGATCTTCCCAGGAGTGAAGGTTATTTCTGTTGAGCCAATTTCTCCGCCTTCCAGCTTGCCCCCACATAGATCTCGAATGATCTCCAATCCGGACAGATGCTGAGGCCTTGGAGTAACAATACAAAGCTAAAGATAGGTGGAAGGAGACTACATACTCATGTTACATTAAAAGAACTACTAAACACCAACTAATAAATACTACAATTGCAAATTTCAGATCAAACAAGGATCAGAAATTCGATCTGGTTCCTACAGTACTTCTCCTGAGTTCACAGAAGCCAAAGGAGCAGCATTCAGGCCATTCTGGAATTTGCAGGATTTTGCTGTGTTTTCCATTAGAATCGGTCCAGACAGGTAAGACGCAGGAGCAGTCACTTGTCCTAATGTAATAAATGCTTGGACAAAAATGCAATGGGATAATGATGGCAACACTGAGATGGAGCCAAGCCAGAAACTGGTTGCCAGAGCTGCAAGAGAGCTAACAGTTTTGCTATGTATCCGGCTTGCTGTGCTTGCATTTCCATTTGTTTGAGTAATTTAAATAGGAGAGAAACGATCTCCTCTTAACACTATACACTCGGTGAACCATGTTTTGCCAAAGCATTACATGCCCTCAACTGTATTTCATGTTTCCAACCGCGCAGTCTGCTTAGCACCTTTGAAAATACTTCCGAGACGCTCCGTAAGTCTGTGGTGCCTGACAGGTGGCGACAGGGGCAGCGCCCCCACCGGCCCGGCGGCCGGCCAGAGCCAGAGGCGGGAACTGGGCTGAGGGGAGGGGGCGGAGGGGTCCGAGTCCTCCCGCCGCGAGGCTGCGGGGGAACCCCTTCACACCCCAGAC